GCTGAACCCTGGGATTCTTGGCTGGCTGGCTGGTCTGGTGATAAAGCATCACTGCTGTCTTCATCAAATGAATAATCATCCAATGCTTGAGGATAATTCTCTTGTCCCACTGCTAGAATGTTTACAAAGAAACAGGCAAAACAATTTTTTTTTAGTTACACAATTTAAACTTAGATGTTAGTGGCAGAATTAGCTAATTGCTAGGAAATTATCAGTTTTCAGCACAGTCTAAACATATGGTACCTAAGGATTTATTGTGTTTTTAATATAATGACAGCTATATTAAATCATGTTCAAGGGATTGATAAATCAAAGTGTATAGCATTAGTTGTTTTAATAACAGATTAAAAGGTACATTTAACATCTGTGGACTGCACACAGACACCCATGAGAGATCTAGTAATGGCCACATATGTTTGAATATTTTGTAATAATTTTTATTAAGAAATAAATCTTTTCAAAGACAGTATTATACTCCATCTATATAATTCTAACTTAGTTTCAAATAAAAATAGGATAACTTTAGTTAAATGATGACATAGTTTAGGACTCAGAAGCTGAAACAGGGGTAATAAACTTTGAACATGTTTTTGTCTAATGAACTCTACCCTCCAGAGTTAAATTATTATTTTCCACAATGCCATGCAGACAACAGAAGCTGTGGGACTCCTACTTACCTATGATAGCTTCTTTAACACTGGAGTCTACAGGAAGAATATTTTTTTCTACCAGTTCCATAGGGCCAGGCCTCTGAGCAATCTTCTCATTCAGATCATCTGCCAACCGAGCTCTCTTCAGTTTCATCTGAGTGGCTTGTAGTGAGGGCTCTGCAAAGGTCTCTAAAAAGATACAATTATTTAAATATTCTGTTCTGTCGTTTCTCCATTTTCCTGACAAAAACATTGAGCTGTGTTTGCAACAACCCTTTTATCAAAAACAGGCAAGTATTGTTCTGAAAACTCGCCAATTAATAAGCAAAAATAGAATTATATGAGTAGAAGCTGCTCATCCCCATGATCATGTTTTTCTAGAAATATAGTATATTTTTAATAGAAAGAATGCATTTGGTAAACATTTGCACAGTGTCCAGCAACAAAGCAGGTAATATAAAATAACAAATGCAAATTATAAGCTGAAGACAGCATTTGCTGCTCTCATGATTGACCAGTGTGAGCTATGGTAAAGGTTTAAGTAATCCATTGATTTTGTGTTCTCTCTCGAGAAACATTGTTAAATGTTTACCTTTAAAAAGCTACCTTACCTTCTAGCACAAATATGAGTCTTCAAAATTGTATTTCAATGAAAATATGGATATAATCTATCAATATGGAGATATCTGCATTTAATATCCAAATGCACATTTTGAAAACTAATGGCTACATAAACTGACTTGGATTATGGTTATTTGGTAATTTCTGTATTTGGTAAGATGATGGAGAAACATTAAAACAACCCCATACATGAGAAGACTATTGTTTCAAATGACCTGAGCAACAAGGGGAAATAACAAGGCAGGGTAAAAGTCAAGTTTATTAAAGTTTGGCTGGGGGGGGGGAAGTATAACTCTGTCAGGTTCCTTTAGGGTATGAGTAGGAATGGAAGCAATATATGCACTACATATACATGCACCATGGTGTAATTACCATTATAGAATAAAGACAATATGCTATGCAAACAAATACATAGTTGAGAATACCTTCACTGCCATAAATGTATCTCTTATTATACAGATTTAAAATACAGATTATAACAGACACTGTAGAGGTAGAGAAACAAAGTATAAAAACATTTAGAAATAATTCCTGTTGAAGCCTAATTCAGTTAGAAAACTAAGTGCACAGTAGAGGTTCCTTCTAATAGCAGCACAAAAGGTACATACAGCTGGGAACATACCTTCAAGGATGTGCATTCTGACCAGCTCAGACCGGTCTGGCCTGCTGCGAATCTTGTGCTTCAAAAAATTTTCAGTCTTTAAAGAAATGAGACAATGGCATTAACTACTATATCACTCCAAGGAGTTTCATAAAACACTTATGTCGAATCTATGACTATTTGCAGTTGCATTCAGATAAATGGACATTGCTGTTAGAACACTGGCAGTAGGGGTTTGTTTTGTTCTGTTTTTCTGTCAGTTAAGCAGTGCCAATTAATCTCCATCTTCCTCACACAAGTTGAGAATGTTACTGGATTTGACCCCATATCACCACACAGAATCACAGTGTAGACTTGCTACAGAAATTTACCCAAGTATCCTATACCTAGTGGAGTTAGCAATATATTATTACATTATCACCATTAATTTATCCTCCCCACCTTGATCTATGATAGATTAAGAAATTTGTTCTCAGATTTGACACCAATATTTTATTTAAACTGATTCTTCAAAGATAAAAGCAGATGCTATGACTGTAATGGTAGTAATTTTTTCATATACTCAGATAATTTAGTATCACATACAACTGACTATCCATTTTCAGATGTTAATAACAAGTTTAAACAAAGTGGTTTACCCTGGCTCGCTCCAGACTCTTGATCTGCTCATGGAATGCAGCTGGACTTTTCAAAGCTGTGAAGGGAGAGTAAGAGTTAAATTGACAAGAAGTGGTTTCCCGAAGAAATATCCTAATTGGGATATGCATATGGTGTTTAACACCACCTCAGAGTTGTGTTTGCATCTGACCAGGCTTACATTTGACTCATGCTAGTTATATTCACATCTATGTAACAGATATGAGCAACACTCCTATACAGAATACTTTAAATATTTTATTTTAACAAATACTACCATGTAAGAGTTAACTTTTCCACTAAGGACGCTGGGGTCTATTTACCAGAACTGTTGCACACTAGAAATTTTATGAGGTAAGGTTCAGAATGCCAAAATACAGCTTCATTTATTCCACTGTATTTACTGTCTGTCTGTACCTCAATACTTGGTGTTGCTAGAGAGAACTGAACTGTTCCTTAAGAACTATTTGTGCTGATTTTTTTTTTAAATGTGTAGAAGCCCCAAATGTTCAGATTAGAAAACAGAATGATGATTAGCTGCTAAACAGCCAAAACCAGTGAAAACCACCTATTCAGCTAGAAATATGAATTGTGGAGGGCTTAATCTAAATTGGATTGTTGAAAGCAAGTGAAATGGCAGCAGGCATGATCCATCTTACTTGCCACACTTTTGGCAGTGATAAAGACACTGCAAAACAAAATCTTGAACACTTTTTGACAGCTTAAAAGTTTTTTCCCAGGTTCCACTCCAAAAGAAACAAATCTTTCCGTTCCTAAAGATAATCAATGCTATGGACCTGGGAAACTGAAGATGATTTATCAAAGCAAACTGAAGTCTGCTGCACACTCAGAAACCTTCAGGAAGAGATTAGCTTTAAGACAGTGTGCTTTCAAGGTAGAATTCACCAGTGCACACTGGACTGTTTGGAATAATTGGACATAATTTTGGTATGTTTTCAATGCCTGGGGTTTTTGTTTAAGAAAAATCACTTTTCACATTTGAATCTTTTGACAACTTGGACCTATTCTCTTGAGCCCAGTCTCATCCCACACTGTCTACTTAGGGATTCCCAGTGCTTTCTGTGCACCCCTCATTCTGAGGCCAAGCTAATTAGCATAGTCATTGGGAGCCCAAGTGGAGGAACACCAAAACAGGACTAAGGAAAGAGTTAACTGCAGTTGAATTCTAGGCCACTAAATATCTGTATTCAGGAGAACTCTCTTGTGATTCCTAAATTGATTTTAGGTCTCATAAGTGGTGCTGCTGAAACAAGCATCATCTCTAACAGACTGAAATCAATAAAGGAGAAAATGGGCTCTAGCAATAAAGTGCAATTGCATAAAGCATGCCAATTACTTATTTTCAAAACACAAGTACTGTGAGTTCAGACATACAAGTGTAACAAATATCGAAATTTACAATCATTATTGGCTTGTTAAAATATTATTATCTGCGATTAAATTCCAGTGGTAAAACAGATCAGAGACAAGAACGGTTTATGGAGGAACTGGTAACTTTTTGCATAGCTGTCAAGGATGGCAGGTGGCCAGGCCAAAGAGTCAAAACTCAGCATTACAGAATCCTGAAATCATAAACATCTCCAACAGTATTTATGAACTTGGTGATGTTGCTGCCTTAGTGAGACACTTCACAATAAGATCATCATCAGCATCTTAACTCTTCCAAAGAGCATCTAAAAGCATTAATTGAGTTTTTACCACTATATCATCTTTGTTTTGGAATAGAATACAAAACTCTTATACCAATTTGGATAGTTTGCCAGGTATGGCAAGTTGATCAGGAACTTGTGGCAACTGGAAAAAAACATTCTAAGACAAAAACAGTTTTCTAAAAAAGCCACAAAGCCACATTCTTGGAAATGTATTCATACTCAGAAAGGCCTAAGCACAGAAGCTTCTGCATTAGGTCATATGATCCAGTGAGCAGTGCCCAGCCTAATCCCCTGCCTCTTGTCCTGTAACATCACAGCTGCCACATGCAAGATTTGACACAGAAGACACATCAGTTGGTGCATGAGTCACAACTTGTGTGTCCTCATGTTTTGTTTGGCTGCCCTTGCCATCCTGCTCTTTAAATACTGCTGGCTTTGTTATTCATACCAGCTCATTTATACAATTCCATTTATTTTATAAGATTATTGATAATTTAAACAGAGAACATAACAAGAGAATCAGACTATGTTTGTAAATCTTTGTGTTTTTATCACAATGGCTATTTTAACTGAAACATTAGGTAAGCATGACGAATTTACTTCACACTCATTTACATTACCAAAAGGATCAAAGAATTATTCTGGTTAGAAAAGACCATTAAGATCACTAAGTCCACCCACTAACCTAACTCTACTGAGTCCAGTGCTAAACTGTGTCTCCCAGCACCACATCTACACTTCCTTTAAACACCTCCACATATGATGATCCCACAAGTATTTTCAAATCATAGATAAGTTATTTATAATAATTCTCAAAGAAATATGTATCTTCATTATTTTACACATTCATCTCATAATTAATACAGTAGCGCAATGCAAATTATTAGGAATAGTGTAAGTCTTACGTGGCATGATGCCCTGGTCCACCAGCTGCTCTCGTGTTCGTCTTTGTTGTAGCCTCAGCTGAAGTACTGACAAAAGAAAACAATAATTCCTTCATATGTGAGCATACTATCAAAGTACAGAAAGATAAAAGAAACCCACAACATTGAAAAGATAGTAAGTATTTCAACTTTAGAAGCTTGAGACAGACCTGACAGCACCCTCAAAGACACCTCTCACTAAGGATCAACTGTTATTAACACAGCTTAGAGCAACTGCTTCCAATCCCTTTTTGCAGCAGTTCACTGCTTTTTGTTCACATGTGATTAAGGAACACTATTTCACATATACATCCCTTTTTCCTGTCAGCTAGGCCTCAGGAGATGTATATTAACTATAAATCTAAATAGACAATATTTTTTCCCCTTTGAACACTACTCATATAATAGATTAAAAAAACATAGTGAGGTATAAGGAGTTTATAACATAAACTGCAACATGTAATTATTATATAGCCTTCTTACATGTCTTAAACAAATCTTACATGACTGCACTACACTGAATTAGAAATTATTTTTGCAGAGCATTTTAAAAGAAAATCTGTATGTGTTTCGTTGACTTTTAACTTAAGGATTTTTCTTAGAGGTATAAAAGCTTATTGTACATTTAAATAAATCTCATTGGAACACAAAAAAATGAAGAGAACCCTGATTTTACCTGGCTTACTAATAAATATCCAAAAAGTGATACAATGAGGAATAGACCTTATCCTCTCTCATCAGAAATGCAGTTTTCCAGATTAAACAAATTATTTGTTATTGTTATTATTTCAAGGACCAAATAAACCAAATACTGTCACATTTGGAAAAAATGTTTACTGCTTGAGAGGTAACTTCTTATGTTTCATTACATATAATAAAATGCACAAAGGTTCTCATCTTATTGTTACTGTAAGAATAATCAATATATCGTAGATTGAATACTACACCAGGAACTGCAGAAAACCTGAGGGAGGGCACAGACATAAAGGACTCATACTTTCAAAGACTGGAGCTTTTCTGTAAATGTTCCCAGGGAAAAAAAAAAAAAAAAAAGGGAGGGATAGGGGGAAGAAAAAAAAGTAGTTTCTTGTTTTTTATGTTGTTTCTCTTTCTCCTTGTTTCTGTATAAAATATCATAGTGGTTCATTATTTCTTAGACACATATAGCTGTTGACTCTTAATATGTAACTTCAAGTTTTGAACAACAGGTGGTCCAGATGCTTGGTCAAGAAAAACTACTTTAAGGATTTCATATTTACATTGTTAAATTCTGCCTTGATAGCTTACTATGGATGTATGATTACGACATTCTGTTCCCATTGTATTTCACAAGGAAGCAAAACAAACTAATACATTGTACAAAACATCAAAATGAATGTAATTTCTAAAAAATTAGGCTAAGGACAAAGTTAATTGTTTTCAGAATTTAAAAGGAACCAGCTCACTTCCTGTTCTACCACACAGGAAGGATACTCCTCTGGCTAAAGCATTAAGACCGAGAATAGCAAGTCCTGAAAACAAGGACATTATTTTCTTGTGTTACACAAACGCTGAGAATTTAAATGCAAACATTTCAGAGCTGTGGCCTGTTCCTAACAGAAAATGTTAAGAAATGCAAGTTTCAATGGGAATACATTTTTAGCATGTGATATAACATTATGATGTTAAGCTTCTATCCATGGAGATACTTCTAGTAAGTTCCTTCTGCACTAGCACAGATGACTGAGAATTTCACTAACTGGTCTGCTGTTTATAAGAAAGCAAAAAAGACTGATACATTCTTGTTTTGGATTCTCTTGTTTGCAAGTGTAAAACCAAGAAAGCTCAGGGTTAGTCTTAAAACTAAACAGACAATCCTTTAAAAAATCTTAACTATGTATTACCCATCCAAAGTGCGAGAGAATTTATAAACAGTATAGCAAGTCTACCCTATTTCAGACGCAGTATTTTTGGTCTTGAGTAGATTAAAACTTGACTTCTGTTCTTTCCTAAACTGTGCTGCCTGTAATACAACTGGGAAGCCATGGAAAAGGTTGAAAAGTATGTCCTGCTCTGGGCAGAAATCTCATCCATGCTGTACAGCTGTATTTGGGCCAAATGTACACCATACTTAAATTTGGCTTTCCTGGAACACTAAGCACACTACAAACATGTCTACCAAACCTTTCACCTAGTTGCAAATCAGTTTTAAACATATGCTCCTTTATTTCAGGATCAGGGTCTTCAAGAAAAATTACCTGCTCCAACATCAGTTATGTCCAGTGCAGAGCTGATATACGCCATCAGACACAGTAAGTAAATCAGAACTAGCATTTTTTTAAATTCCAATTTTCCTTTTGTTTGTCTTTGGCAAGTACGTGCAAAGAAATACCAGAAAGGCCTCAGACTGCACTTTACCAATATAAGTAAGCTAAGTAACTATTCCAACACTTCTAACAGGTATTACCTTGAATTTCCCTGAAGTATACTTTAAAGAGAGCCTGCCTGAGGTACATACAGATGCCAAACTTTCTCTTAGAAAAAAACCAAACCACCAAACCACCCCACAAACAAAAAATCTCAAAAAAGAATAGACCAAAGATTCTGTGTAAAGGTCCTGTTTTAAGCACTCTTTGGAGTGTCAGAACACAGCATGTGAGCCCAAAGGGGAAGGCACACTGAGCACACTGGTACCAGCTCTCAGTGTGATGCTGTTTCTGGAGGTCCCTGTTTGTGCTATCAGATGGGACATGAGTCAGAAAGCAGGAAAGGCTGTGCCTCCTTCTGACATCACTCACACCACCCATATATCGTGGAAGCATCAACACTGTAAAGACATGCCCCAGTGGATGTGCTATGTTTGTGGCTGATGTGACTTCTGTCAGTTCTTGAAAATTAATGCTGCTTGGTCATGGCAGGTGGTATCTGCCCAGGAAACGGGCACTAAAATAAATCTCCTCAGCAAGAACAGTGGTAAGAATACAGGTAGCTGATCCCTTATTTTCCAGCTATTTTCAACTAACTCTTTAATGAAAATTAATTCCAAATGTAGATTATGGTAAACCCTACTATGTAATTTGTGATTGTGCTGTGATTTGTGACTTCAGCTTTGCACAAATAGTAAAAACTGACCCATATCCTAATGACTGTCTAGTCTTACAAGAGACTTCTGCTACAGCAGAAGGAAGAAAAAGCAGTAAGAATGTACACGCACATAAACCAGATAAGCTCAGGTGTGAAGCTTTAGCATTTTTTAACAAATAGTTAGTCTCTCATAACTCTACATACTTACCCATTTTAATCCTACACTGGATATCACAAAGCAAGTAAGGGATGATTTTGAAGTTGCCCCATGTGTATCTGAACAAGTCATACAAACTCTGGGAAGACTGAGAAAACAAGAGCTACAGAAGATATAGAACGTGCAGTTATTCACTTACTAAATAGCAGGAACTTCTATATTACACGGTAAATAAAGGACACGTTCTAGCATGACTAATAGGGAAGCACTGCAGGGGAAATGCTAAAGAAGATATGACTCATAATTGGAAAGATGGTAAAGAAGGATAATAATTTTGACTTGACCAGAACAAGGACGCTAAACAGAAACAAAATTGGATGAAAACCAGATGATCTTGGCTTTTGCAAACAACTTCAAAATTAGTAAGATTTAAAAAAAATCTTTGGTGTCTGATTTTTTTGTTTAAATAAATATTGAGCAGTCGAGCACATTATTAAAGAAAGTTCCTAAATAAAAAGTAATTGTAAATTATAAAAACTGAATATATTATGTTAAAAGGTTGAAAAGCTTTTCCAAAGCAAACAGATCAGGTAAAAGCTGGTATTTATATCTCAATAAAAGAAATAAGGACCTAAAACACTTTTAGCTCCCACAGCAACAAAAAGTAAAAAGATGAGATCTTTCCAAGGAAGAAATGGTAACACCTGGACATCAGTTGAATAGCTGCAGCTACTCAAAGAGGGTATCTGGCTTACAGTTTTGTGTCAGTACACATAGTCATAGTACAGCTGTAATGACCTTTATATTGTCGCTGTAGTTAAGATGGACTGAGCTCTGCAACTGAGCAGAATCAAGTTACAGACAGACTTGTATCTTTATAATGAGATGAACTGTAAGTGGGTCTAAAGGAAAGGAACAGGAATGAGGTTTGTGAAAAGCTCGAAAGAAAATGGGGGCCCACCGAAACCAGCTCAAAGAACAGCCAGAAAGATATGGATGATGGGAGTAATGGAAACAAAAGAATGAGTTTTCATAAAAGAAAATGTGATGAAATTATCTTCAAAGATGAGAATGAATGATGTGAGAATGGAGAACAGCTTTGCACTTTTGGCAAAGAACTGCAGGTTTATTTTACTGAGAAACTCTCTGTAGAATAGAATGCAGGTTAAATCTAATGTAATTAAATTGAATGCAGACTTTGTTTATCATATATATAGAAATCCATATAGCAGGAGATTTCTAGAAAAGCCAGTAACATGTAAAGTGGTAAATCTAATAGGGATGGATGAGATAGAAGGACACAGTTAAAAAAAAATAATATCTAAAACCCACTAAGGCATTATTCAAAGTTATTAATACATTGTTCTAGTGTTCTGGTTGGTTGGTTGGTTGGGGTTTTGTTAGAGGTTGGGTTTGTTTGTTTGTTTGGTTTTGGGTTTTTTTTGTTGTTTGGGTTTTTTGGGGGAGCAGAGGGAGCAGTGTGTCCTTATTACAAAGAGCTGTTTACAGACAAGCCAGCATGGAACCAAAAAAATACAAAACTGTTCCCCATGGGGTGGTACTTACTCGAATACTGTGTTTAACAGATTTTTCTTATTGGGGTAAATCCATTCAGCTTGTTGCCCTGTGATTCACTTTTTACTTTTAAAATCAGGCAGTTACCTACATAACATCTAAAATGGAAGATGAGCTCCAAAATAAAGGCCCAGTACTGACAAAGGTTTACATATGTTAATACAATATTAATGTCAGTAATACTGTTCCTCATATTTAAAGTGTATATGCAAAAAAAGGGCTATGTTAATGCCACTGTTAGAAACATCTAGTT